TTCTTTTCTTTTCTTTTCTTTTCTTTTCTTTTCTTTTCTTTTCTTTTCTTTTCTTTTCTTTTCTTTTCTTTTCTTTTCTTTTCAAGACAGGGTTTCTCTTTGTTGCCCTGGCTATCCTGGAACTCACTCTGTAGACCAGGCTGGCCTTGACTAGAACTCAGATCCACCGGCCTCTGCCTCCCAAGTGCTGGGATTAAAGGCTTGCACCACCACCGCCCGGCTATGATTGTTGCTTCATTTCTTACAGCCTGAAGGCCTTCCCTCTGTGAGATAACATTATTTGTGTGCCCTCATTACAGTGCTCCCAGTAGCTTATAATGTAATGGTCGGGAGATTATCCTCCACACCCTTCTTTTCCCCCAAAACCGTGAACTCACAAGTGGTCGGGACTGGAATTTTCATAACTACCCTTAAGTCCTCAGCATCTAAACAAGCGTGCCTATTTTTCTGTTAAATCACGGTTATCACCTGCCTTGCAGTCCTTTTTCCCTGGAAGTTTGCTTCCTTTCGGATCTTGCCAATCCTGCCGAACCACTTGGCATCAAGGAGTGAACTTTGTGCAGGCCAAACAAAATAGGTTCTCAACATCGGCTACCCTTTTTTTTTTTTTTTTTTTTTTTAAAAGACAAGGTCTTGCTATGTAGCCCAGCTGACCTCACACTTCAGGCAATTCTCTGCCTCAGCCTCCTGAGCTCAGCGATCACAGGCATGGGCCATCACACCTGTAACGACCTGTGGCTCTGGATGAACACCCGGAACGAACTCCGATCCACAATGTTCAGGGTAGACAGCCACCTGACATTTTTTAATCAACATTTCCCTAGCCCAGGCCTAAATTCGCCTTACATTCTTGTCAGTTCAGTGCAAGGCTGCTGTTGGTTTATACACACGAAGCATATATTCTATCCAGCAAAGACACCCCAAATGTCCAACAGGTGGGCCTGTGGGATGGCTTAGAAGTGAAGGTACTAACTGCCAACCCCAACTACCCGCGTCTGCTCCCTGGGACTCACAGATGGAAGGACACAACTGACTCTGACTTCAACAAGTTATTTCCGACCTCCACGAGAGTGAGTGAAAACAGACACACACAGACACAGACACACAGACACACACATACACACACGCACACACACACACACACACACACACACACACACACACACACTCACAGCAAGCAGCAAGCCCTGGAAGGACACCCTGTCCAAGTTCCTGAACTAGCCCAGGTGGCTTCTGCCACGCCCCACAGGCCCCATTTCGTCAGCTTTCTTAACTGCTCCTTAGCGCCTAGCTGCAGTCAGATGGAATTCTGACAGGTTCGCACCCCACCGTGCTCCCCATGTATAGAGACGGAATTATCCCGAAGGGGAGCGCCTTGAGCAAGTGACTGGAGCAGTCCTGGTAAATACAACCGAAACCCTCTCCTAGAGGAGGCGCAGAGGCCAAAGATCAACCTGCAGCAGAGTCGGGAGGGAGGAAAGTTCAGGAATTCGGCCTCCTGGTCGGCCAGGCCTCCTTTCTCCATTTCCACATGTGGGCAGGGAAGGTGAGGGGCAGGCTCTTCCTGTCATTTTAATAAACGTGTATGGCATCTCAGGGCTTTCCAGTTCCGAGCTGTGACATACTGAGTCCCTTATTGCTGAGATAGTTCTCATCTACAGAAGATGTAAGGATGGCGCTGTCTTCATGACAAACAGATGGGCAGGGACTTTCTACACTGAAAAGCTCTATGGGTATTCCTGTCACACACATTTTCTGCTCAAGCTCCCTGGCAGATGAGGAAACCGGAATTCAGAAGACATGTCACATGGCAGCAATCTTGATGAGACTGGGTCTCTTAACTCTGAGCATTTGCTACACGTCAGAGTTTACTAAGTCCGCTGGCACAAACCCTGTGTTTTTCTCCTTCCGGACGGTATTACATTTCTTTGGGAGCTTAGATTACAGACACCAAAAAGGAGAGGACAGCCGGGCGGCGGTGACCCACACCTTTAATCCCAGCACCCGGGATGCAGAGGGAAGCGGATCTCTGTGAGTTCGAGGCCAGCCTGGTCTACAAAGAGTGTTCCAGGACAACCTGAGCTGTTACACAGAGGAACCCCGTCTCGAAAAGAACAAAATAATAATAATAATAATAATAATAATAATAATAATAATAATAATAATAATAGAGACTACCAAGTAAAGTGAGGCGATGGGTAGGGTAGCAGAGACAAGCTCACTACTCCCTCCTTGGTTTGGGAGATCTCAGCCCTAGGTTACTGAGCTGCCTGGTACTCAGCAGCCGTAGCAGTCCATAAGACCCGCCACCCTGGCCTGTCGGGAACGAAGGTGGGATGGGGAGGCTGAGCCAGGGATCTTCAACAACCCATCCACCCCGAAACTCGGCGTTCAAGAGACGTCTGCAGGAGTACTCGCAGGTGGAGTGGCTTATTTCGCGAAGGGTTCTCTGATTCGAACGCATGAAGATCCGAAGCTGTCTTTCTAGGAATTCCTTCCCTCTCTAGAACCCATTCTCCCTTGGAATAGTTATGTTTATTTTCCTGAACTATAATATTTCCCAGGCCGGCCACTGGCCCTGGGCCACCCAACAGCCCCCTGGGAAAAGTAGTTCGCTTTCGCTTTCACGGGAGTTCTCCTCGCCTGGTCTCCCAGCGCGTCTCCTTCCCACAAACCTCCTACACCAGAGGGCTCCACGAGCACCGGGAAGGCCGGAGAGCCAGGCCCTCGGAGGCCCCCCAGGGGTCCAGCAGCCCACCGGGGCGCGAGACCGCGGGACTACGAATCCCGGCAGCGCCCGCGCGCGGCAGTGCGCAGGCGTAGCCGCGCCTCGCCACCCCTCCCCCCTCCGCCAACTGCTCCCGTCGGTCCGTTCCCGTGTTTCCCCCCATCCGTGCTAATGTCGTCCCCCCACCCCACCCCTCGGTCCCTGCGGCGCCTCCCACTCACCGCTGACTCGTGGCGTCGGGTACAGCCGCTGCGCCTTCTCCAGGAAGCGCAGCGCCCGCTCGGGCTGGTTGCTTTGGATGGCCTTGAGGGCGATGCTGATACAGCGCTCGGCTTCATCCTTGTTGGATTCCATGGCGGAACCCGAGCGCGGAACCAGGGAGGGGGAGGCCGGGCGAGCGAAGGGCTGCGCCAGCCGCCGGCGCGTCGCGGGGCAGGCCGGCGCGGAAGGATGACATAACCCTCCGCCCCTCCTTCCCGGGATTGGAGTGAGGGTTGAACCCGGGCGGAAGCCCTACCGTATGTCTCCTAAGAAAGGGGCGTTCGAACGGGGTGGTGGTGGTGGGGAGGCGGAGGAGGCGCTGGAACGCGCGGCAGCTCCAGAGCGCAAGTCCTGAAGTTGAGTGCGCGCTCCGGGTCTAGGTGGTAGTAGCCTTGGGCGTTCCAGTCCCGGACTGTTGTTAATCGAAGGGATGTTAACCGGATGCCCACGGCTTGTCAGACGCCTTTGTGGGATGTGGCAGTGGGTGTCGGAACAAAGCCCTGTCCTCACAGAGCTTTCGTGAGTGGAGAGAAGTCCGGATCCATTCAGATTAGTGACACAGTGAAGGGAAATAGCGAAAAAATAGAGGGAGATCGAGGGGAGGGGCTGCTATTTAAAATAGCTTCATTATATCAGAAGCCCCTTTTACAGAATTCGGGAGGAACAGGGACACGTGACTGTCCGAAGGCAGGGTGGTTCGAGTGGAAGAAACGACAGAAATGTAAAGGCTCGGCATGGGCATTTTCGTGGCGGAGTAATTGGGGGATTGAGGAGGAGGAGCTTAGAGGAGTCCCTACAGAGTGGAGCCAGTCAGGATGCAGCTCAGCCGCACCTCCCACTCCAGTGACAGCAACTTCGTGAAGGTTGCCCATGACTTCCACTTGGCCAGATCCACCGGTTATGTCTTAGCCCTTACATTATGGCTTGACAAGAAACTACAACAATAAGCCCAATCAATCAAAGTTAAAATTTTTGGTTTTTTGTTTTTGTTTCCCTAGAGACAAGGTTTCTCTATGTAACAGTCCTGGAACTCGCTGCCTCTGCCTCCTGAGTGCTGGGATTAAAGGCACGCACCACCACCTGCCTGGCTAAAGATTATTATATGTATATAATAAAGAATATATATATGTCAAGGTCTCACTGTGTAGCCTTGGCTGGACTGGAACTCGTTCTGTAGATAGACCAGGCTGGCCTAAAACTTGCAGTGATCCTTCTGCTTTCCACATCTGACTAAATTCTGGATATATTTTGAAAACAGTTTGTTTGTTTTGCTTCTGCAGTGGATGTATGTTCAGTGTGAGAGAAACAGACGACTTCTGGCCAATCACAATATCCTTGGCCTGAATAATTAGACAGAATTTCTGTTGTTACACCTAGCCCGTAACACCCCACAAGGAAGGAGAGAGACAACACTTATGAGTTCCAAAGATTTTAATAATTCGCCACATAAGCGGGTCACTGATCAAACAAGGCTGCAGGACAGGAACTCGGAAGCCTTGTTTCTCCTGACAGCCCTGAGCAGGCGCAGAAGCGGGGATTTATAAGGACAAAAATCACATTTGTTGCCAAGTTACAGTTACAGTTTTCACCAATCAGAAATCAAAGATTAGGGACTTTCCTTGTGTGTTCCACCACCATCAACCGACATACAATACACGCTTTTCAGTCCAGCCAATCAGACTCACTTGTCCCTTTTGTTGTGAGGAACAACCATGTTTCTAGAGACCTGAAGATGTATAACGACTGTTTCTATGGTCTAGGGAGGAGGTTCGTCAGGCATTGGAAAGTTCTCAGCCACTCTAGGGTTTGGGAACCTGAACTTTATTCCACCCTATAGGCAAAATGGAGTCTGAAGTCAAAATGGCAGTACTCAGGCCAAGGTGCTTTTGCCTGCTCCCTTCACTGTGTACTTGAACTGGAGAAATAGGGAAGTCCATGAAAGGGGCAGTTTGTTAGGAAGATTATTATTATTATTATTATTATTATTATTATTATTATTATTTATGGTTTTTCGAGACAGGGTTTCTCTGTGTAGCCCTTGCTGTCCTGGAACTCGCTCTGCAGACCAGGCTGGCCTTGAACTCACAGAGATCCACCTGGCTCTGCCTCCCGAGTGCTGGGATTAAAGGCGTGCGCCACCACTGCCCGGCTAGAAAGAATGTTAAATGTTTGGTTTAGGGCAGATGTTTTGGTGATGTGAATGGCAATTAGGAGGTTGTGCAAGTGAAGAGCACAGGGAAGACTGAGGGCTGAGGGTTGAATTCAGTGGTGACCAGGCTTAGCATGACCCTGGCATGACCCTGACATGACCCTGGCATGACCCTAGCATGACCCTGGCAATGCTGCTCCTCCCTCCCCCCCCCCAAAAAAAAAGCAACAAACTGGAAACCTAATTTTGGAAATGGATGTGAATGCTTTTTGCTTTTTGGTTTTGGTTTTGGTTTGGATTTTTGAGACAAGGTTTCCAAGACAGCTTTGGCTGTCCTGGAACTCGGTTTGTAGACCAGGCTGGCCTCGAACTCACAGAGATCAGTCTGCCTGGGATTAAAGATGTGCACCACCACTGCCTGGCTTGGACACAGATGCTTTTTAAAGCAAGCTATGGGACTAACTACAGCAAGATGTGAGCGCCGAGGAGAGGGGAGTTGGATTACTGAGCCCTCCATCACCCAGTATTTACACTCCAAGGGAAGGTACTGAAGCGTGTTGTGAGGGAAGGAAATACGTTACTCAAAGGATGCGTTTACTCAGAGGCGAAGTGATGTGGATGTTTGCAGGGGAGAAAGGAAGGGTCCAAACCATCAAACTATGTTGAGGCCAAGCAATATAAGGACTGAGAAGTGATGGCATTATGTGACGGAATTGTTTCAAGTGAGTTCCTGAGGGGTTCTGTGTTGTTTTAACATGGAGTGTATTATAGCATTTTGTAAGAGGAAACAATTAGATGTGGGATCTGGGGGCACAGGGACACTTTATAATTTACCACATAAGGGGTCACTGATGGATCAGGGCTGCAGGACAAGCACTCGGGACACATTATTTTTAGGAGAGGCTGCCCAGCAGGTATGGAGGTAGGGACATTGGGAACCTTCTCTTCACTTTCTCAGTTCTCTAAGGAGCAAGGCTGTGTGTCCCAGTGTTCTCTTTGCTGAGCACTCATGAAGAAATAATGTCCCTCTCACAAGACAGCCCTGCATTTGAATGGATTGATGGGTTCCTAGTGTGTTAATGGTTAAATCCTGGACAGGGGAGCTTTGAAAGGGCCCTTCCTGAGGTTTGGTGACTGAGGACTATAATGTCCACCTTACATCTCTGCTAAGTGTCTGAGTTCTCTTCTGTAGTAGAAGGTGTGTTACTTTTGTTTATGTTGCATTTGTTTAACTCTGTGAAGCTGTGTTACTGTGCCTGTGTAAAACACCTGATGGTCTAATAAAGAACTGGCCAATAGCAAGGCAGGAGAAAGGCTAGGCAGGGTTAGCAGGCAGAGAGAATAAATAGGAGGAGAAATCTGTGAAGAGGTAGGTGATCTAAGATTGAGCAGCCAGAGAAGAGGACTCCAGGTACCAGGCACCCAGCTACACAGCAAGCCACGGAGTAAGAGTAAGATTTACAGAAGAGAGCTGGGCGGTGGTGGCGCACGCCTTTAATCCCAGCACTCAGGAGGCAGAGGCAGGCGGATCTCTGTGAGTTCGAGGCCAACCTGGACTACAGAGTGAGTTCCAGGAAAGTCTAGAGGCAAAGAAAGAAGGGATAATTTATGATAAGGAAAGCTGACTAGAAACTAAGCCAAGCTAAGGCCAGGCATTCATAAGTAATGATACACCTATGTGTGTGATTTATTTGGGAGCTGGAGGTGGGGGGCAAAGACCAAAGAGCCAAACAACAACCTACCACACTCTTCTTTCCTTTCCTAGGTGGGTGTCAGGAGCCCCTCTTCTGCTGAGTACAGGTGCTTCAGTCTGTGAACAGGGTACCTACTTAACTGGGGGAAACCTGTTTTTCAGTGTGCTAAGGACCTGGACTGGGACTGTGGCGAGCCCTCCCTCTTTTCCTGCCTATAAAATGACAAAGTCTGGGGCTGGAGAGATGGCTCAGAGGTTAAGAGCACTGGCTTGCGCTTCCAGAGGTCCTGAGTTCAATTCCCAGCAACCACATGGTGGCTCACAACCATCTGTAATGAGATCTGGTGCCCTCTTCTGGCCTTCAGGGACACATGCCAGCAGGATACTGTATACATAATAAATAAATAAATACATAAATACATAAATAAATAATACACAAAACTTTAAAAAAAGAACTAATTGTATTTAAAAAAATGACAAAGTCTCATTTAAAAGTTAATCAAGTCAGTTGTTCTGGCTCCTTGACAGGGTGGCAGGTGTCTTAGTCACTTTTCCGCCGCTGTGAAGAGACGCCACGACCACGGGGGCTCTTATCAAAGAAAACATTTAATTGGGGCTGGCTTATGGTTTCAGAGGCTTAGTCCAGGCTCACCATGCAGGGAGCATGCAGCAGGCAGGCAGGTTTGGTGCTGGAGAAGGAGTTAAGAGCTACATCCTGAACCTTGAGGGCGTGGGAGACTGGGCCTGGCATAGGCTTCTGAAACCTCAAAGCGCATCCCCAGTGACACACAGCCTCTAACAAGGCCACACCTCCTAAGCCTTCTCAAACAGTACCTCTCCCTGATGACTAAGCCTTCCAATAGAAGAACTTACAGGGGACATTTTTATCAACCCATCACAGCAGGTCCCAATTAGTCAGGATCTGGAGAGGTGGCTGAGCATTCCTGGGGTGGACGTGGGTGGTGGGTGGTCCCTAGCAGGGAGCTGCTTATGTCCCAGTTTCCCGTTTTTCCCTCTGCTGCTGGGCTTGGGTCCCTCCTCCTCCTCCCCTCCCTCCTCTCTCCCCTCCTCATCCCCTTCCTTCCTCTCTCGACTCCCTCTCTCCTTCCCTTTTGTGGTACAGGGAACCCAGGGCATCAGACACAGTGCACAGAGCAGGCCGCTCCTCCATCGCCGAGCCTCACCCCTAGCTCCTACCAGAACTATTTCTGTCCTGAGCCTGAGGGCTGCCCTAAATGGCCTCTATGTTGTCAGATTTCTGGTCCAAAGCCTGCCAAGAGAATCACATTCCTCAGTTCATGCAAAACATTTCGGTTCTTGGTTTTAGGTTTTGTTTAAA